CACACACACACACACACACACACACACGAAGGGGTATTAGGGGTGTCTTACCCCCACAGTATTTTTTTTTTCAGAGTGTAAGTCACCTGTGTACCAAGTTTGGTTGAAATTGCTTCAGGTGTTCCAGAGTTATGCTGGAACACACACACACACACACACACACACACACACACACAGCCAATCATCTTACTCTGGCCTTCAACTTTCTTAAGAGTCTCTTCCTTTCCCCAGACACCTTCAGTGCCAATATACTGGCCTGTGCATTTGTTCCTTCTGGCAATTATTTTTTACTGTGTATTTCCATATTACTTCTGCTCTGAACCTCAGAACAACCTCTGTCTCTGAAAAAAATACAGTCTTTTGCTCAATGTATGGATTGAGAGATGTATGTTTCAGCTTGGGCATGGAATATTGAAATCTGTGCTAAAGGTATGGAACATTTTGCATATCCTTATATGCAATATATTGCAACAAAATATCGATAGAGACATAAAAGCCAATGAATCACTAATTAGTTCGCCTGTGTCTTGTAGGTTGGTGGTATACTTGTATGTATACATGTATATGTGAAAAGTAATTGAGATTGCATGTTACTACCTTACCCCACCACTGCAAAAATCCACAATTACATCTCCAGGTTTAGCCAGATTTGTCACTAAAGCGATTAGATTGTTCAGCTGCTGCTGTTTCCTTAAAGCACGATCAGCAGACATCTTTCCTAAGAATGAGAAAAAGAAATATAAAGACTGAGCAAAAAAAAAAAAAAAGGTTTCTTTTTAGAATCACTTAACTACTTATTCTGATTTGCAATCGATTTATTTTTAAAGTTTAGTAGGAGTAGTTCGGATTTCATCTGGTGAAAAAAAGGAGAAAAGAATAAACTTGCTGAAAACGGCTTGCACCATAAGTCAGCTTTCCAAGTAAGCTTAAATTCTGTTGATTTCTCTGACACATCCGTGTAATTTTCTGTGCCAAAATGAAAGTAGTTTGCCACTGCATTGTTCCAAGATATCTACTGACTCCCAGTTTGGCCTACATCCTTATTATTTTCTGTACAATCTCCACACAAATATATAAGTGTGATCCCGATTAGCAATTGACAGAACTTCCTTCTCTCTGTTACTCTGGTTTCTTCTGACAATGTAAACTGATACGAGAACAATCTGCACACAAATAAGTCTATTTATGTGCTTTCAGTTTACTAAGGATTAAATTAAATCTACTATTGTTGGTTCCTTGTGCAATATTCAGAAGTCACAAAAAGCGCTACATGGCAGATTACTATATTTTCTATTTTATTTTTAAAAAGAAATGTTTGTTCCTCAAAATTAAGATCCAGTTCACTTCGATTTCCTTTATTCAAGAAACCCACAATTAACAAGAAAACCAGAAACTATTTATCTCCAGCAGAGCTCCCACTCCGCGTAAGTTCTTTTTCATCAAAGAAGCCAAGTTTTGGCTGTATCAAGGTTGGCATGAAGCATATAGTCTGCATTTAATTATAAAGGTAGTCCTCGAGTGACGACCACAATTGAGCCCAAAATTTATGTTGCTAAGTGAAACATTTGTTAAGTGAGTTTTGCCCCGTTTAACAACCTTTCTTGCCACAGTTGTTAAATGAATCACTGCAGCTGTTAAGCAAATAAGATGGTTGTTAAGTGTATCTGGCTTGCCCCATTGACTTTGCTTGTCAGAGGGTCACAAAAGGGGATCACGTGACCCTGGGACACTGCAAACATCATAAATGTGAGTCAGTTGCCAAGGGTCTGAATTTTGATCACGTGACCCAGGGGATGCTGCAACGGTCATAAGTGTGAAGAATGGTCCTAAGCAGAGGTGGACTGCTCCCAGCATTACTGCCGGTTCAGTGCACGCAAAAATTTTGCGCAGAAGCAAAATCAAGATGGTGCCACCATAGGAGAACCGGCTGGGGGAAATAGCAGGCCTGGGTCGCTATCCAGGTTCCAGCGACCCAGGCCGCCAAACCACTACCGGTTCAGTCGAACCTGTCCCAACCTATAGAAACCCACCACTGGTCCTAAGTCACTTTTTCAGTGCCATTGTAATTTTGAGCAGCCATAAATTAACTGTTGTTAAGTCGAGGACTACCTGTAATCTCTCCACTGAAGCTTATGTTTCATACAGGAAGCTTCCAACACTACTGAACAATTATGGCTTACAAAAAGATCCTCAGAAAAGATGGAATGGGTATATTTGGGTTCCAAATATATCTATTTCATATCCCTAGCACTAAGCATATTGTAGCAATAAGCATATTATAGAATATAATTCAAAACTATTTATTTTAAAAATGCAATGTATTGAGGCAGCAGAAACAATATGAATATTATAAAACAGATTTTAAATCCCTATAAATACAAATCTGATAAAATATTAGAGCCAGATAAAAAATGATGGCAACAGCAACAGTAGATTAAAAAAAACCCTTCCAGAGCAGCCTCAATAGGTTTTCTTTTCTCTCCTGTTGGCTTTATGAAACTCTATCCTTTTACTATGTTTGGCAGTGTTCTGCAAATGGCTATAACTTATTGCAAAACACAACCTGTATTTAATGTCTAGATTTTTTGTGAAAAGCAGAATTTTCCTTCACAAACACACAGCAATTTAGGCAATGACAATAAACAGGAACTGTAATTTAAATTATAAGAATAAAATCCAGACTTGCATATTAAAAAAATAATTTGTGCCCTAAGATAAAACATTTTACTTCTGTAATTCCTTCTGCTTTAAGTTGTCCTGCAAGAACAACAGCCAATACATCTGAATTAACTATATGTTGTTACTGTCTTTAACAATTTGGGGAATAACCCTTAAATTGGTACCACACCTCCTAAGATATGGAAGAGGGACCATGACAGACAATCAATGCTGGAAAAGTTGATTTAAAATGTAATTCAGGATAGAATGGCATTACAGTGAGTCTGTTTTTCTTAACTCTTATTGTTTGCTTTAGCTCTTCTAGCCAAATTGTTTTCTATTAAGATAAAGTCTTAAAAGATTTCAAGCAAGAGAAAAATGCCTTTTCCTATACAGCTTTTTCAATTATTTCCTGGAAAGGCCAAATGGCTATTAAAATGCCATGGCACATTAAGAAAGAGAAGAGTATAACTCTAACAAATAAAATAAAATAATGTCCTGACTAGGTTCCCTTTCATAAGCTTTATTTTTAATCTGGGAAACTATCATATTTTTCGGAGAATAAGATGCACCAAAGTATAAGATGCACAAGGTTTTGAAGAGGCAAATTTTTAAAAAAAGTTTTTGCACTCTGCAAACCTCCCAAAAACAGCCCGTTTTTCGTGAAAACAGGACCTTTTTTCTCTAAAGGGCATAACTTAGGAGGCTTGTAGAGTGCTCCTCGGAGGTGGGAGGGGGCAGAAGCAAGCAGAAAACGGGCTCGTTTTTTGTCAAAAAAAAAAAAGGGCAGATAGCCTTTAGGAGGCTTATAGAGTACTCCTGGGGGCTGTGGGAGGGGGGGCAAAATTGAGCAAAAACGGCCTGTTTTTGCTCATTTCTGCCCTCCCCAGCTCCCAGGAGCTCCCTGAAAGCCTCCTACAAGCTCTGCACAGCCATTTTGGTGAAGGGGCGGGGTTCCGGGAGGCAAAAAATGCTATAGTCAGTGTATATGACCAGACTTAGAGCCTCTTTTTTGAGTGAAAAAGGTGCATCTTATACTCTGAAAAATACGATAATTGAAATAAAATCAAAACAAACTTTATGAAAATAGCAATCAGTGAGAACTTCATTGAAGGGACAGTTTAATCAATTTTCTCCCCTTTGGTACATAATTTTATTTAATTCTCAAGAGACATTTCTATAACATCTGATAAAAGCAATACATAGCAACAAAATAATAATGCTAATTTGAATCATTCAATCAAATGCTTTTATTTTAAAAGTCCAAAAAGAAATGAACTTTCCTTCTAATGCTTTCTATTTAAAAATATTTGCAGATCTGATGATAAAAGAGTTTTTAAAATTGTTTTGTTTTCCTTTTTTGTATTTTTTACTAACAATTCTTCATATTCCTAAGCAGTATTTCTTAATTTCTTGATCTTGTCTCTTTAAGTTACCAATGAGATAGCAAGTAATTTGGATAAAGATTCATAAATAGCAAGAAGAACATATCAGATATACTCATCCATTATAACCAAGATCAAACAATAAAACATTTCCTTTTTCTGATTTGCTATACTTATTATACAGTAAATGAATATATATTTTAGGCAATAAGTCTATCTTAGATGTCATAGGTTATTATTTACAGTTATAAATAATAGAAAATAATAAAACAGTTGTAAAGTTTCACAAATGATACCCCTTCAGTTACTCATCTTCCCTCTCACTTTAGAATTGAAATTAAAAATAGAAGAGAGAATCACTAAAGGATCATTTGAAAACTGAGGGAATTCCTAGCCACTGTGGTTAATCATGTTTTGTTAGGTAGTTAAAAAGCATTTTCAATGTCTGTGGGAAAGAACAATTCACCTTGTGGGAGTCATTTTACAATGAGTACCATTTTAACTCACCATACTCTTAAGAGTGTAAGACAAAATAGTATGGTGAAGAATACAATCTCTAAAATTCTGTCACTAAGAGTCAAGTAATGTTTTCACTGACAACAGCCAAAAATAAAATGATATTGTTATCATAATTAGTAACAAAATATCCCTACAGTGCCAGCAACTTCTAACATCCCAAATCCAACTGTCATAAGGAAAGATTGTTTCTGGATGAACTTTGGCTAGATATAAACAGATGATTTTAACAGATATACATAAAACCAAGGATAACATAAATCAAAATGATTGATTGATGCTTCTTTCAAGAAGACTTTCAGTGCCAGAGAAAAAAAATTACCACAAAAGCAGAAACTTTTAATGGCATTTTGATCTCTCTCTCTCTCTCTTGATCATAACAATATTATGATCAAGACATACAAAGTAATTAAAATGTTGAATGGCTAGTGTAATAGTTAAAAAGTTCTGCTTTTCACTATTCATAAGACTGTAAATAGAATATATATTTATTCTAAGAATGTAGAATATACATATATTACTTATACTTCCAAATGACAGCTACATTTTATCTCGATTGTTTTATAAATGTTTTAACATTCAGATGGATTTGCAGAAAACATGACAAAGTGGAATGATATTATACTGCAGCACAAAACAGTATCTGAGGCAAGATACACACACAAAGCTCTTCTCAAACCCAGGGTGGTGCTTCTAAATTGAATTATGAAATCTCAGCCAAGAACCTGCTTATTCCTGAATGTTCCGTACATGCAGTAGTAATTTATGATATGAACATAGTATAGTTACAATTACTAACTGGTTCCCTAAGAACTAGCCAAAAATGTAGATTCCAATTGTATGCACGGCCTACGTTTTAAAAGCAATAGCTCTACAGGTACTCCTTGACTTATGAAAACAATTAACTCCCAAATTTATGTTGCTAAGCGAGAGTGAGTTTTGCGTCATGTTATGAGCTTCCTTGCCCAATTATTAGGGGCATCACTGCAGTTGTTGAATTAGTAACAGAGTTGTTAGGTGGATCTGGTTTCCCTACTGACTTTGATTGTCAGAATGCCACAAAAGGTGATCACATGACTTATGGAACACGGCAACCATCATAAATACGAGTCAGTTGTCAAGTGTCTGAATTTTGATTATGTTAACCACAGTGGTACTG